CTTTAAACTGATACTGTTTCGACATGAATGATCCAGAGCGCAGGCACGTATCGCCCGTAAAGGTAATGGGCGTTAACCTTCCGGACAACGTGAGAGAGTTTAGCCAATCACAACACAACGGCCCAAACTAACCAATCTGAGCCCACTGCCTGTTTCTGAGGGAGTGGTTTCATAAACTCAGGAAGTCGACTGCTCGATCGAGGACAGAGGAGAGCGCGGCTGACAATAAACGTGAAGTTTATGAAAAATAAAACTATTAAAAAAAGAAAAACCACGAATACATGTTATATTGCACCCTATAAATACAATCATGCAAAGAAAAAAAAGCAGTCAACCCCCCCTTTAAAAGTAAGTGATCATAGTTTCACATACACACATGTGTGTGTTACTATAGAAATATTCTAATTGATATGTTTAGTAATACTGAAAAACCCTAGCCTGGGTTTCCCCATACTGCTTTGCCGTAGCACGATATTATTCACTATATTATTTTCCTCATCTAGGAAACCAATCACAGAACGGGGAGAAAGCAGCAAGACGACGATGACGTCTATGCATCACACTGAAGCAGTTTGTTTATACCTATGGATCCAACATGGCAGCAGACGCGAAGTTACCTTTCGATTCAGCTTTACGGCCGTTTCACACCGCAAGCATTGGTGGCACTTGAGCAGCGCGTCAGCGTAACTACATCGTCAGTGAGTCTCACTGAGACTTGGGTCTGACGTTAGCCAGGCTAGAAAGTCCCTACATTTAGTAATACATATTTTAATATGAAAATAACGGGCTCTTTTTATTATGTGAGCCATGATAATAATAACTGCATTTAAACATTGTTTAAAATGTGTTTTTTTTACTTGAAAACAACTACACAGAAATTGGATGATAAAAAAAAAACAGCATGAATTCAATTTTAGCCAAACTTGTAGTATTGTGTGTGTGTTGGGTACATTTCCCATCTCCATTTCCTGTCAAGACAGAGATATTGATGTACACTGGCTTCTTATGCTAGACTGAACATTAATGCTCCCTGCGAATCTCACTTAAGATGGTCAAATACCCTGGAAGTCCACTGCACGTGACATTATCAAGCAACATACCTTTAGTTATACATCCTGTCTGATCTCACAGCCATTTTTTACATTAGATCTACTAATGACTTGGGCTAAATCTTAAAGGGATAGTTCACCCAAAAATGAAAATTCTGTCATCATTAATTACTCACCCTTATGTCATTTCAAAACCAGTTATTATTCAGTTCATCTTCAGAAATGAAGATATTTTTGATGAAATATGAAAGCTTCCAGTCCATCCATAGAAAGCTACACAATTGACACTTTGATGCTCCAAAACATTCATGAAGAGATTGAAAAAATAATCCATATGAATTGTCCAAATTTTCTGAAGAGACACAGAGTGAATATAGGCTTTTATTCACATATAAAAATTCATCAACTCGCACATCAGTTGTGGTAAACGGAAGCTCAAGCTTGTTCACCTGACGTGTGAGAACCAATGAGGTTCATTCTGGTGTTCTGCCGCACGCTTGATCTTCTGCAAGAGATTTGCTCTCACGCACCAAGCAGGTTTGGGTTGAGCATCTGTTATGTTTGCTAATCAATGTTTATGTGAATAAAAGCCTAAATTTAATCTTTACATCATATAAAGTGATCGAATCTCTTCAGAAAATTTGGACTAACCCGCTCAATTATTAATAGGTTAATAGATTAGTAGGGCCTAGTTTTACGATCTCATTATGAACTTTTCAATGGAGGGACAGAACTGGCAGAGTTTATTAAAAAAAATATTTGTATTTGTGTCCCGAAGATGAACGAAAGTCTTAAGGGTTTAAAACGACATTGGGTGAGAAATTAATGACAGAATTTTTATTTTTGGGTGAACTAATCTTTAAATGAGATGCACTTTATTGTAATGCCATCATGTATTGACATTTAAGAAGCATTTACATTGTTCCATTCGTGAGTTTTAAAACAGCGACAAAGTAAAACAAGGTTTAATAGTAAAAGTAAAGAAAAATGTATAGCATTTAAATGGGGGCAATTTAGGTCATGTTTGACTAATTTGGCCACAAGCCAATATTATGATGGCCCTGGGATAAAATCACAGATTGAATGACTTGCACAAAACAAGGGTGGTGTGTTGATATAATAAAACAACAATAATAGTATCTAATATTATTCACAGTTCTGTATACCCTCACCAAAACACACAACACAAATGAAATGGAATGAGCAGCCTGGAGGCCACACACAGCTGTTCATGAATCCATGACCTCTACCTGATGCAGCTGTCCACCACTTCACCATTAATGTTACACCGTGTCCCAATAATTCACCATGGCCTTCATATCACAACTTGAATGATGATGTACTGGGATTAGTTTCAGCCTTCATGAAAGTCCATGTGTAAGGTTAGATAGATAGAGAGAGACAAACGGACCGACAACTGAAACAGTGTGGGAAATTGGGCTGCGTATTGTCAGCCAAACAGTCAACAACACTACACAGACTTCACCATACACCGTAAAAAAAAACACAGAAAGGTATTGTTTACGTTATTAACGATTTATAAAATAGACACCCTATAATTAGAATTAAACGGGGGAAAGAAAAGAAATAAAGGCCACCATGTATTGGAAAAGTAAAATTGGAATTACATTATAGCGAGTAGAAAAACAAATGAACCAGGCTAGAAAACAATATATTATTATATTATAAACAGACATGAAACACAAATAATTTCAGTAACGTTACAGTCGGGATGAGGCGATTTCTTTAGTGACAGTACGACAAAACATCTCAATAAACATACCCTGAATAACGTCAAAATAAGTCATAATAATCCCGCATGAGATTAACTCTAGGTAAACAATAATAAACGATCGTATTTGTAAATTTTCTCCACATGAGTGATTATTCGTCAGCAGCTAACAGGCTAGCGGAGTCCTCCTCTCCTAGCCAGAGCTAGCCAACCCCGGCTAAACAACCAATACATGCCGAGTTGTGCGCTTCATTTTTACACCGCTGGATAGCATTGACTGTCATTTATATAAAACGAATAACATATTAACATTTCAAGAAAGATGCAAAGAAAGGGAGCTGTATTTTGGAGGAAGGAAGCTAGCGCCAGTGGGCAGTGTGTATGTGTTTTGCATGTCTCCAGTGTATCCGCAAATCCATGAGAACTCACCAGACCAGGCGATGTGTTCAAGCGTCAGTGAGAAGCGCTCTAAAGAAATCCTCTTGCGCTCTTCCCATCCATATTTCACGGGTGATGCCAGTGCTTTCTGAAGCGGTTACTGGTTCTGTTAGATCAGCTAGCTAGTGGCCATATTTAATCCTCGACATCCCAAACAACACAGGCTTGAGCTCGTCCCAGCTCCAGCACTACTTCAGATCTCAGCGGTGTGGGAGACGCTGCCTCCCAGTGCTCGCTGTAGTACTTTAATTACACGGGAAACGGCGACTCCTGCTGGCCAGAACGATGCAGCTCTCTATTTGGAGGAACGTTTTTTTTACTCTGGTCAGGTAATAATCGAAGGCCAATCTGTCAGAATTTATAGTTTTTTGTTTAATGCCCTTTACTGCCACAGCAGTAAAAGAAGAAAGGAATGTAAATTGTACATGATGCTGATGTTACAGTTTCAGTGCAATCAATATGTAAATATATCACTTGTATATTTAATCAACACACATTTCTCAATAATAATACATCCTACACTCTTGTGCTATGTTACAATCCATTTTACATCATTTTACATATCCATATATTATATGCTCCCACAATAAGGTTGAAAGTATATTCAATGCTGGTCTAAACACCCGATTAGGAACTAATTGTGTCCTTGGCAACAACATTTCATCAGTCATGACAAAAGCAAATATAAATCAATAACATTTCTGCAGCATGCACAGCTGAAGCATATGTTATTTAATCTAAGATCATGTGGCATCAACTGTGAATGGCAAACAAACAAAAGAAGATCAATTACCAAATTACTAATAGAACACAAAGAGAAACATTTATGCATGATTCAAATAAACATTATAGAAGAATTTACACAAGTAAACCTAAAATATATGTATAAAAATGTAGTATTTCTCCAATATGCACATTGCATTTTTGAATGCGAAACATAATTTTATCTTTATTCATTAATTATTCCTATTTTTAACTGGAACAATCTCTTTCCGTTGCATTTAATTACACTTTAAAGGTAGATTTTTAAAACAGATTTTTTTTTTTTTAAATGAGCAAGCACATAGCTAA